TGCTGGATGTCCGGCCCCCGAGCTGTTGGCTTTCAGAAACTGTGGCCCCCTGAGCAGTTTAGCAGAATAGCCCTGGTTTATATATTCTCAAAGTAAAACAAAACAAAGCAAAACAAAACTCTTTGTTGTTAAAAATTTGATTTAGATTTTACCATCTGGATGTTTAATTAGAGATTTGTGGATAAAATTACTGTTTTTGGAACGTTGTTTGAACTGACTGAACTTTTTACAGATGTACCTTTTCAACCACAAACTGAATACAAGGGTTTTACAAAATGACAGCATTTGTTGAGAAGACGATGTAGTTACATGACTTAAGTCAATCTTGCAACTAATTGTAACAGAATTCAGAAGGGAGTTTCCAAAATGTCTCAAAATTCACAAAACAAAATTTCGCTCAGAGTAGTAACAAAGTCATTGCAAATCTGATGCTAATAACGGTTAGTGCTAGTTAGGATTAACTCAAGCGTTTTTTTTCTCTAGCAAGGTAGATTTTGGGTTGTTCTTTTTAACAAAACTTTTTATTATATCTAATTTTACAAATTAGTTATTTGTTCTACTGTTTGAATAGAAAACCTAACCCAGTATGTTTGGTCAAATTCATAAATTAACCCTAAACCACCCAGCTTTACCCAGCTTTGGGCTAATTGGGTTGTTTTTAACCCATCAGTTCTTAGTGTGTGGTATTTGAGACAGTTTATCTATACCTTGTTCTCCGAGCTTTTGTCTCCCCTCTCCAGTGCAACAACATGGGTTTCCTTGTGGCCGTGCTCTCTTGCCACACAACCCTGAATTGTCTGAAACCTCTCCAGCAGAGCCAGGACTGGATGCTGCGCTCCCATCGGATCAGTCGGTGAGCACACCCGAGTTGGAGCTGAGGAGGAGCAGAAAGTGTGAAAACCTTCACTCTAAATGACTGTAAGACTGAAATAATATATTTTATTATTATGTCTGATGGTCCATAGTGTAAAATAATAAATTAACATGAATGAAAACTTACAAGCTCTTTAGACTAAAGTATATATTTTTATGTTTTTGCCTAAACTTGTGCCGAAGAGGAGTGGAAAACATCTCAGATTAACAATGTGATCGCTTCAGTTTGACCCAAAATAAAACGATTTAAATGAAAGAAAATCACATTTGACACATTCTGTTAAATTAACGAGTTATCATCTCTCTGTAAACAAAACGTCTCACCTGTCAACTTGTCCCAGAGCAAATGGAGGCAGAAAGCACTCCATAGAACCATAGTCAGTGAAGGCATCGTGGACATGAACTATGATGAACCACTTATAATATCCTGAAAAATAAAAACAGTGAATATTTGACTCATAAATTACAAAACAGATATCTGTTCAATAAAATACCATATGACTAAATCACACTCGGCTGCTTTTCATTTCCCGCTCTCAAAAGGCAAATGAACAATAATCTTTTTGCTTGTGACTTTCTGTTGGCAAACTATCTCGTCAACCTTCTTCGTCTTCTTTCAGCTTTCCCCTCTTCAGGGATCGCCACAGCGAGTCATCCTCCTCCATCCATTTCACTCTGTCCTCTGCATCCTCTGTCCTCACTCCATCTACCTCCATGTCCTCTCTAACTGCATCCATATATCTCCTCTTTGTTTTTTTTTCATGCAGCTGCATTTCTAACATCCTTCTACCAATATACCCACTGTCCCTCCTCTGGACATGTCCAAACCATCTCAGTCTGGTCTCTCTAACTTTATCTCTCAGTTGTTCAGCCTGTGCTGTACCTCTGATGATCTCATTCCTAATGTCTCATCCTTGTCGCTCCTAAGGAGAACCTCAACATCTTCATTTCTGTCACCTCCAGTTCTTTCTCCTGTTTTTTTGTCCATGTCTCTGTCTCCAGACCATACAACATAGCTGATCTCACCACTGTCCTGTAAACTTTTCCTTTGACCTTTGCTGACGCCCCTTTGTCACAAATCACTCCTGAAACTTTTCTCCGTCCACTCCATCCTATCTGGACTCTTTTTTTCACCTCTTTACCACATTCCCCATTTTCCTGGACAGTGGACCCCAAGGGCCGTATTTTCCATCCTATATGTCAAGGTTTGTTGCATAATTTACATGCCCTGTGACTTATAGGCCGAAGTGACATATTTATGATTTTTTTCCCCCCATATTTATAAACCATTTTCTGGCTGAGATATGACCGTTTTC